GCTCGCCACTATAATCGAAAGGTGAAACCCCGATGCATCTCAGTTGGAGATCTAGTTCTGCGAAGTCTTGAAGCAGCTGGAAAGGGCCCCCAATGTAACAAGCTATCACAATTATGGGAAGGCCCTTATATGGTGGCATCCATGATCAAACCTGGAACATTCAAGTTAAAAGATGACGACAGAAAAATGCTGCCCCGTACTTGGAATATTGGAAATCTCCGCAAATATTATCAGTAAAACTATTTTCTAATTGAATTATTATGTAGCCTTTCTATGTCCATCATGAAATTTGGTACTATCTTTTATATAGTAAAACTTTGCTTGATCATTATCATTTTTGTCCTCTTCTTTAAACAGAAGAATATAAGTGGTCCTAAAATAAAACATTAAGCATAGCATTGATTTGAGAAAAACATAATATTCATTGTATCTCAATCAACAGACGATCAATCCCAGGGGGATTCGATCCAACCTCATCCACACAAGTTAATGTCATCAAGCGATGCTTTGACAACACAACTTTGGATAGGTTTAATATCCTAAGAGGATATATATATCATCATTTTCAAATTTTATGATCAATCTTATAGGGATTTGATCCAACCTCATCCACATAGGTTAATGTCATCAAGCAGTGCTTTGACAACACAACCTTGAATAGGTTAAACATCCTAAAAGGATGTCTCTTATTTCTTTCAAATCAATAAAAAATAAATAAATAATAAAATATTTTTCACTATTAAACTAAATGAATCATAAATTCTTAAGAGAATTAAAAATAAATAATAAAATATTTTTCACTTCTATCAGCTAGGAAATGACAATTTGTGCGGGTAGCGACTACGTGATATAGATTCCAAATTACAATACCTATATTTAATGTTGCTATAACAACATATGGTAACACTATGTTAAACGTCGCTATATCATAGATAATTACAATTTATAACATGATTAAACATGTTATACATTGACCATTCCATTACAATTTTATAACTTATTACATTTATATATTCCAATATATAAATGATATGAATAACTTGGTATAGGATGTGTATTTCATTTATACAAGTATATTGTTTATATATGTAATACTTCAGCACAAGATATCATATGTATTTTCGGACTTCTAAGATTTCGACGTCCGAAAATAGGAGGCAACTGATATATCATCAAAAAATTATCTTGATCAGGCCCGAATCTCTATGCAAAATTGAGTTGTAAGCTTCCAAAATTAAATTCAAGAGCATTTGAACTCCGATTTCAGCGAGCTTATAGTCAAACTGAGCGTCTCAAAAATACGAACCCAACGACACCAAACTCAACCCAATCCGAGCCCAAATGAGTCTGAATCAAAGACCCAAAGCGCTGTTGGGAGATTCAAACCACAATTTGAGTTACCAAACGGTCTCCGATTTTCACGAGCTTATACTCGAATCGATCGTCTCGATGAGACGAATCCAACGAGATCAAGATCACCGAATTCCTACATCATCAAGGCCTTCAAATGTCCAACGAACGGTCCACTGGTCAACCCGGGTTGACTCAGTCAACTGGGTTGACTCGGGGTCCAAGTCAGGGCTCGACAGAGTCGACTCGACTCACTGAACCCACTGGAGGGGGTCTCGAGGTCTGACTTGGTCAATTTGACCAAGTCAACCTTTTGACCAAGGTTCTGGGCAAAATCGAGGTCAACAGGCTCAAGTGAAGAGAAAGGAGAAGAAGAGAAGGGAGGAATTTGGGAGCTCTCTTGCCACCGACCATCGTCGGAGTTCTTGCCGACCACCGCCGAGGTTCCTGCCGACCACCACCGGGGTTCCCGCCGACCACCACCAGTTTTCCTGCCAACCATTGCCGGGCTTCCTGCCGACCACCACCGTTTTTCCTGCCAACCATTGCCGGGGTTCCTGCCGACCACTGCCAGGGTTCCTACCGACCATCGCCGGTTTTTCTGCCGATCACCGCCTGAGTTCTCTTCTAACCGTCGCTGAAGCTTATCCCAACTACTGCCTTATTTTGGTTGGTTTATCAATCATCACCAGATTTTTGTCTGTTACTAACTTATTGTAATTCTGACATCTTCAAGTAAAGGGGTGAATCAAACGTTGTAACCAATCCAGATATAGTGGAAATTTCTCATCTGGGTCAGGCCCCGTGGTTTTTCCCTTTTCGGGTTTTCCACGTAAAAAATTTTCTGGTGCTTCTCCCTTAATTATCTGTTGGTGTGCTGGATATACGTATATTGCTAAGACGTTATATTTTTTACTCTACTGCCACGTATATTCCAGTCCGCAACAATAACAATAATTAAAATATAAACACATTTTATTTAGAATGTCATGAAATGTTATAATGATAATCAGCTAAATGTAATACTCAACAGAAATGTACTGTTTTAGAAAATAATCAAATTAGTAGAGATAGTTAGGAATATTATCTTGAAGCTTTAATTATACTACATCATTATATTTTCATGTCAGAATTATTTTCTAATCAATTAAAATACAAAATTCCTAAAATCCTCAATATAAATTTACAGAAAATACCTAAATGTTCAAAATAATTCTCTATAACATATTGAAAGTTACGTGGTGAAAATTTTGCAGATAACAAGCTATCCTTATTTTCACTAACAGAATTATAACTTAAATTAGAAAATTATGGATTTATTCATATTTTTTTAAAAACTGTGATTGACAAAATGTCACCTATATTGATATAAGAAACTTCCATAAATGGACCAACATAAAAAAATAGATTGAAGTCATATGAAACAGACTTTCTCTTTTTAGAAATCTCTTTATATCTCTCTAGTTTACTGCTTTGAGTGAGGAATTAACGAGTTTAATTTTGTAGAAAGTGATATTTAAATAACAAATTTAGGTTGAGCACCACGACGCTCAGTCATGCCAGCATCACAGTGCTCCCTCTTGGACCTTATAGCGCCGCGCATCAAATCCAGCATCGCTATACTTGTTCAATTTTCCAAAATTCCAGAAAGCTAGTGTCGGGACGCCAACATTCCCAACATTGTGATGTCCAAGGGGGAAAATTTTATACCTTCAAAACATGCACACACACTCTTGAAATCCACTTCAGAACTAAATGCATACTCTCACATGTGTATAGAATATTCCCAAACACATGCAGAAAAGCTCAAATGTAAAAATTTAATAGGTTACCTTGAATCTAGCTAAAATGTAGAAATTTAATAGGTTACCTTGAAATCCTAACAGTGTCACACTAATATTAACAAACCAAATAAATTGAATTTAAATTAATCCTTAATAGATGAATAACCCAGCTAGGGCATATGAAATGACATGTTACATACATAGAGTAGAAGTGCCTTGGATTGTTGTCATGCATGCCACACCTATACCATATACTATATCTTTTTGGCTTGTGTTTATAAAATTATAACTAAGCAAGATTTCAACTACTCCTTAACATGTTGGCAACTTTAAAGAGGTGCATGTAATTATGCATTACAATAGGACAACACCATGATTTGTTGCTTCTGCCACTTGTCATCTCTTCCTTTCAGAACCTCCAATTGAGAAGCCACTTCTTTAAAGGTGATCATGAAATTGATAATGATGCTTTTAAACTATTTGGCAGCGACTTTAAGGAAAGATTTAAGAAATATTTAACTCACATGTTGTCAAAACAAATGAGAAACTTGAATCTTCAAAAACTTGAAATCACATTTTCACCCATTAAACAATAAAACTTAAATTTATTAATTCCCTTGATTCAATATATCTTACTAGATTATAGCCAAGAAAGGCTTACTTATAGAATCCACTTTCCATTTGTATTTCTTCTTACTCACAGGCAAAGGTGAGATTAAGGTAAGAAAGATAAAGGGATGCAAGAGAAGTTTAAGTAGAATGGCAATTGGGAGTTAGGTTTTGTTTATGACAGCTTTTAAAAAGTAATAAAAAAGCTGTCCCAAAGGAAGCCTTAGAGGGAGGGAAAAGAAGATCACAACTTGTTACTTCATTTTTTTCCCGTATTCTTCTTCTTATGTTCAAATTTTAGAAAATGAAAGCCAAATTGAACATAGTCACCTCTCTCTCTCCTCTTTAGATTAAACTCTTATAATTATCTTTATCTATTGTATTACCCTTTCTCCTTGCAAGAAGCCCTCATGTTTTAAAATTTTAAGATTTTAGAAGATAATTAACATTCATTATGTGCATACTTTTTATTTGAAAGCGCATTGTAAAGACGAATCACTTTAAGGTTTTGTTTGGGACATCTTGCTTATTGCTTTATAAAGCAAATTTCTAGCACAAAAATTTATAGTTCAAAAACTTTTGTGCTAAAAAGCTATTTAAAAAAGTAATAAGAAAGTCATCCGAAATGAAACCAAAATATTTATTTTTGTAGTAATGTCATTTTTTTAAAATGTTTTTCCCATTTGATCTCTTTTTTCGTCCTAATAATTAGTTCAACTTGATAACTCTATCTCATGATTCCCATCAACGAATACTCTCTCATTTGTCTCATGATCTCATTAATTATCTCAAAAAACTTATGCTATCTATATATTTCTTTGAATATGATCAATTATTAATTTGAAATTTTAAAACAAAATGGTCTCTTTTTATTAGAAAATATAGTGAAAATATTTTTTAATTTGTTTAATAATTATGATTATTATTTTTTATTTAATTTTAAATTTAAATTTATTGTAATTTTTATTTGATTGAACAAATAAATAATATTTAATAGGCAAATTAAAAAAAAAAGGACATCCATTTAAGATCTCCTCAAACCATGTAAAAAAAAAAACCACAAAATCATCCATCCTCACACGTGTCGGCTTGGGGGAAAATACCTACGCGTAATGCCTGTTATACCCACGACTGGCACGTGCGCGGCATGCTGCTGACTCAGATCGCAGTCATAGCGCCTGCAGCCAATGAGGTCTGCCGGCCTGATGGGAAAATATTAAATCTTGACCGTTCATTAAGTCACAGGGACCAAAGGGGGCTTTTTCTACAGTTTCATCTTCGAAAGTTTCCCCGGATTTATCCCTCTCCTCGCTTTCCGGCCGAGCTAGCGAAAAGAGGAGAGAGGAGAGAGAGGACAGAAGGAGATTCTGCTCATATCATCTATCTCGCGTGTGGTTGGAGTCCTGATAGGTATCTCTTCTCCGAATTCTTTCGTCGTCTTTTGCTGATCCTAGTTCTTAGATTCTCAGCTTGATTTGCTTCTTCTCGTTTGTTTCCGTATATCCGAGAGCATCTTTGTGGGAATTCTTCTATTTTGTGTATTGAGTTTGGTGGATTGATGCTTCTTCTCGAGGAATCTGTTATCCTTAGGAAGGCTTGCCGTTTATGACCATGAGAATTCTTTTTTACACGTGATTTCATGTTTTGTGTTTTTTTTTCCTGTTTTAGCTGATCAGGTTGAATTTGGTTGAGCGTGTAATTATGTTTTTCTTGTTCCGTCACGATCAAGACGGGTTTTGCAGTTTTCACTTGCGCTGAAGTGTTGCTTCTTCAAGAATTTACTGTCTTTATCTTAATTACTCAGTAAATTTTCTTTTCTGATTTTTCATGTTTTTGAATTTTATGGAATTGTTCTGTTCTATCAGCATGGAATCCAATAACCACTTTACATTTTTTTTTTGTTTGTTTTTTAGTTGATCTATTACTTCTGAAAATTTTTTCCATTGTTTTCATTACAGTTAAGCATTTTTGGGCGGAAAGCTTGCTATTTTTCAGGCTGGATCCTGAATAGGACTTTTATTTTATTGTTTACTTTTGTTTGCTTCTTTCTTTCTACTTCACGATCTAAATGGGAAAAGGTGAGATAAATTATATTTAGTAAACTTTTTAGAGATTTTTAAAAACAAGTAGTCAGTTTTCAGGCGCCTAACTGGTAGCTAGGAAGAATTCTATTATTAGATACATTTTCAATTTAAGAAAGCTTCTGATCATGCACTTTAACTTTATGAATTCTAACGATAAGTGTTAAAATGTTCCAGTTAAATATGTCTATAATAGTTTCAGATTTAACTGTTCTAGGTGCTGGCATTTCAGCCTCTTCACTTCAATTTTATTATGAATTGGTTAAAAAACGAAGTTAAGGTTGAATGTGGACAAATTTTGAATGAGTGAAACAAATATTCAACTTGTTGAATAACATAGGGCTGAAAGTGGAAAAAATTTGAATGAGTCAAAATCGAATATGGTGACGGTGCAAATACATTCCGTGCTTTTCCATTCCAGAGTTCCTATGTGTTTCCACAGTGAAAAAAATATTCATCTTGTTGACTAACCACCCGTATTATAACTAATCCAATATTTAAAAAGAATGCAAAAGTGTTTTTTTTGCTAATATTCTGTATAGATTTAGGAGAATTGTTGAGAAAAGGTAGCTTAATTGTGAGTAGAGTGAATTTTCCGTCTCCAATCAAGTTTGTCAGTTAAATCTTAACCAGAATAGAGTTTTCTTATTAAGTTATTGGCAAATTTATTGTCTTTCACATCATTCATAAGCGATGTATTTTAACGTTCTATTTCTATTTAGACAATTTCAGTTGGGCATGTAATCTCTACATCAATCTTTGTCACTCTCTCGTTCTATATCTAGCATATAACTTTCTTTTGTCAATGCCATTTGACTTTTCTTTCAATTATTTTCTTTTCAACTTATTAGAAGTCACGACCTATGATGAATTTGGATTTGGCAAGGTTTATCAGAGAGCTTTGTCATTTACTGCTACTGAATGTTATGCACTTTTGCGGTATTTACATTAAATTGTAACAAAAAAATAAATAAATACGGGTAGGCTATTACAGAATAAATTATGGTCTGCCTCAATGCACTTACAAATTACTATTATCTTCAACTTAGGCTTCGTTTGGGACAAATTTCTTTCTGCTTCTTAAAGCAGCTTTCTAGTATAAAATTAAAAAATTTTATACTAGAAAGCTGTTTTAAGAAGTAGAAAGAAAGCTGTCCCAAACGAAGCCTTAATCAACTCCATGTCCTTCATTAGAATTTCAATCTGAGCCATGTTGCGCATAAATAGTATGTTCAAATACACACTCTTTGATTGATATGTCAGTTAATAAACTTATGAACCGGTCTCTAACTAGGAAGAATTTAATACATAAACTAAAGTTAACCAATTGCTCAACTGAAAACAGTAATCATTTTGCCTTGCTTGTGCCTGACTCAGATTCATCAATATTTTCTGTTTATCAATGCTTCAGATTGCTTTGTTGACTATCATATATATTAAACTTTGTTGAGGACATGTTTTTAATATAGTAAAAATCACGCATAAGGAAAATAAGTTTCTGGTTTAATATTCCGCAAGAGTGTTTAGAGAGCTATAGTGGGTAAAATTTTCAATTTATATGGTTCAGTTGTCTAACACTGTTAAACATTTTAACTACTAGTGATTTCTCTCGTTACGGTTGTATCACCATTTCTCTGCTCCATTATAACCTAACTGATGAAGAATTTTTTCTAATTTTTCTACAGCTATCGTTCCTTGAGTAAATTCTTCCTATCTGTCCTTAATAGCACAAATGCCAGCATTTAAGATGAAGATCAAGTCAAAGACAAACTTCCTGAGGAAATGTAATCACAAATCAACTAAAATATCAAAAGGCTCACGCCCTCAAATTAAGTCATCAGAAAATCAAACGGCAGTGGACTCTTCAAATCCAACTCTGTGGAAAAGTGAGCATTTTTAACTTCTCGTTTCCAAATAAGGAACATATTTATAGTAATGCTAAATGACCTTGAACCATTCAAATTTTGTTTTAACAACACCTTTTATTCTGCATGTCATCTTGATTAGGGTCGAAAACAATAATACAAGATAAACAATCAAATCGATATCTGCATAATTATGCTATATACATTTGTGGATGCTTGATTTTCAGTTTGCTCAGAATACATGGGTAGAAGTTGCTTAAAATAATTGTGAAGTATACGTTTCATTTTAATACAACATTTAAATGGATTGAATGAAAAATGAGGATTACTAATGCTGATCCCCGTAGTTAGGATGAGGCTAATGATGATAATGATGATTTATGCAAGCTTTATATTTTCTACAAAAAAGAGAATTCTAGTCAATCCATCAGAGATTCTCATTACATGCTATAGATCTCATGTCCCATCCTATTTGTTAAAACACTTTTGACTTGGAATCAAATTGAGGCAGTTGGTAATTGGAAGATCTCAATCTAACTGGCTCAACTTGAAATCAATATTTATTACCTATCTACTTGGATTCAGAGCTGCATTTAACAAGTTCAAATTCTAATCAAGGGCGGTCATTTTCTTTCGCATATTCATTCCCAGTAATATTTATGATTACAAGGTCTAAGTCTATCTTCGTTTTATGCATCTTGTTGTTCTTCTATGCACTTTTTATTTGGTCTATATTTTTTGCTAAATCCATTATATTTAATCATAATACGTTACTTTTTTTTTTTGCCAATTTCAACATCCACTTGATTCAATTTTAAAGGATACAGCATGGTGGTCAATCCTGATTTTTTATTGTATTGGTAGAAAAATAAAGATAAAACCTGCTCAGGACACCGAAACAGTACATGGGCAGCAAACAAAGGTTTACGAACATTATGCAAGCACATCATATAACTCAATTATAGGAGATGATATTAGATATCATACTCCCTGAAGATGACCGTATATATAGCTCACACAATTGTAGAAGAAGATAATAGATACCATAATACCTAAAGCTGAGAGTAGATAAGTTCAGCAGTGTTAAATGACCTGCGAGGGTAGAACAGCAATCAACCTTAGGATCACTGATTTAATATTTAAATTACTGTGCTTCCAGAGCCTCCGAATTTCCTTCTCTAATTGATGAAAACATGAGTCCTATGAATCCAAGCTTTTTGGATCTCATCTAAGTTAGATCGCTTTGTTATTCTGAGTAAGCATACAAATAATTAAAAATTTTGAGTGACATCTCGTGCAAAGATAAAGATCTTTGTGATTTACTTAGACAATTTTTGTTGATTTTCTATCTCTGTATTCTCATGATAATTAAAAAATACTTTGGGCTGTTCCCCCTGAATAAATTTGTTTTATATTTCAATTCTAAAAAGAATTACAAACCTGCAAGTGCAGTTTCTTGCAATATTGAAGTATCTTCTCAGAATGTTGAAGTCACTGAAGCCAATGACTGCCAGGACACATATGCTGGAGACTCTACTCAAATGTTGAAATTGTTGTTCTCATCTCCTGATTCTCCTTCATTTGGAGGAATGGTAAGATTTTTTTTTCTTCATGTTCTTTGTTCCTGGATTCTTTTTCTTTGACATATACATGTGATTGTTATGCTGTTTGTTGTTGAGGGAGGGACCGAGGGAGAATAGTTGGCAGACGCCAAAATTTTGACTATGAAGTAATTTTCTGTTCCTATTTGGTTTCTTGCTTATCCAAATTTATAGTGTGAAATGCCATGCTGGCTGGATATTCTGTTTGCAGTCCTTTCCTTGTTATCCTGAGTTATTTATGAATCTATTTACGTTACAAAGTTCCTGCATTTGTCAGCAATCTACTTCCATACATACACTCTAATTATTTTCAATATGACCTACTAAATTTTCTCAGAAGTTACATGCTGATCAATATTGGATTTCAACATATAGTTGTAATATGTGCAATGGGAACTTGAATGCAATGAAAAGCACTTCAACTATATTGAGGATGGTTAATAGTTGAATGTCCAATTAATTGGTACTTTCTCCTTGCTTTTATCCAGAAACTTCAAACAATGTGACATGTGTTGCTTTATTTTGTGTATAGTTTGTATTTACTGTTTGAAACATTGCAAGTCAAGATCGCAATTTACAAATCTACTTTAAAGTTAAGCTGGGCGTGTTGTTTCCAAGTTATAGATGTTTCTTTGTTCCAGATGCAAGACGGTCCCACCCTATAATTTTTCATCAGTGCTACTTGCTCTAGCCATGTTTTTGTATTCTTCTAGGATGACAATCTTTTGAAGCTCAGTTTAGGTATTTATTCACCAACTTTGAGTTTGTGCTTGATTTGAACACTCTAATGGCATCTCACAGTGGACAATATCCATTATGGTTTATTCTTTTGACAATCAACTAATCTGTCTTAAATGGCTAAGCAATTGATGGGCATTTCACTCTACTTCATCCACTAATGGTTTAAAAGGTTTTGCTTTATCTGATATATCAATGCCAACGACTTTGCTTAAAGTTACAATTTTTTCAGATTTATTATCAATTGGGCAGTAAAATAACATGAAAAATATGTTTCAGTTTGATGTAACATGAAGCTTTTCATGCCACATTTCCGATAATTGCAAAAATGGGTTGCACTTAGCTGATTCATTAAGGAAAAATTTCATGTAGTTTATGCATCTGGATCAATCTCATGCCATATTGTTTATTGGGCCTAATTATCTCCAGGAATCGATGTTTGCATCATGCCCTGGTAACTTGGAGACTATTTTTTCACCTGGTTTTGAGCAGACTGATGAAAACTTCAAAGCAGTAAGTCCTAATGAATCAGGTAACTGTTAAATCAGTTTTACATGTAATGACAATTCTGTAGACTAAAATTTATTTTCTTCTCAATTTTGGTTAAAGTTTGTGCTGTTCCTGTTTTTTCTTATAATGCCAAAGGTGAACCCTCTTTTGAAAAATTAAAATTACTAGTTATAAGTGAGTAATTTTCAATGTGTTTGTAAGATAATCTGTGTGCATTGATATTCAGTTAGCTGTAGTTTGATCGCCTTATTACTTAATTGGTCATCACTAGTAATGTTTCTTTATCATTTGAAGTTTATAATGACCTGCTATTTTGATTTATTACCAATTAAAATTTGAGTTGAAGTTCATGCTTTTATTTTACTAAGGTTTTGCTAGAGGAATGATATTTACTGTGAAATGTAGGTTTTCCATTGCTTTTCTTGTTAGTATATTTGGCACACAATTTAATGCATAACGATTTCCAATAATGTCATTATTTAACTTATTTTAGCCTTAAAATGTAGCTTAATATAACATATAACATTGGGGCTTTCAGAGGGTTATGGTTGTTTCATGACATTTCATGTCTCTCCTTTTTATTTTTATTGAAGTTAAAAAAATTTCAACGTATTTTAACAATCTAATATTTGAATTCTTTTAAGGTAACATCTATTATATATCTTAATAATTTCTTATTTTAATTATTATCATAAAAATAATATTAAATATTATTATTTGCACAGTTAAATTATTTTATTTTTCTGTGATTTCTAATATAAAATATTAATATTTTAATTTTTTTATCTCCCCAAAAGTTTCTTATTACAGCTGTTTTCAATGCGTTCCCGTTGGTTATCAAATATCAATAATTAAATGTTAAAATGTAATGTTATTATATAAAAAAGGAATGATAAAGAAAGAAGCATACTGAAATCAATTTAATCTTCCAAAATATTTGTTTACTTACATCCTACTTTCAATGCAATAGTTGTTGATTAAATGGCTCCCTCATTTAATCATTAAATATTTCAATGCAATAATATTTGCCATTAAAAGGAATAATTAAATAAAATAACTAATTAAATACTTCTCATTATATGACTCTTCCAATTAATACATAAAGAACTATCTCTGACGGTGCTCATTTTCCCACAATAAAAAGGATGGTCAAAATAATGGTTACTAAAATCAATTTAATCATTCAATAATTCCTTCAATATTTTATAATTTAATTTTCTTAAAATTTTGTTCCTTCTATAATTCTTTTTTTCTTCCAGATGTTTGTACTTATATAAGGATGCCTTCTATTTGCAGAACATATTTTACAAAGGTTTATTGCCTTTATTATTTTTTTTACAAAGGTTTATTGCCTTGAAATTTCTATTCAATGAATTATGTCATTAGGAAATAATAAACATAGAAAAATCTTATATCTATTATAAGATAAAAAATAATAAAAGTATATAATCAATAATTATTTATTCATTAAAGGACATTTAAATTATATTCATGAGAAATGTCTCTTCATCATTAATTATTATTTCACTCTTTGTTTTTTCTAAAGAACAAAATGTAATCAATACAACATTTTTTCTTAATCTGCGAAATATTTTATGATATTTCTTTTTATTTTGTAAGACAATAATCATAGGAGATCATTATCAAAAAATAAAATATTATTAAGACATTAATAATGTTCACTTCAAAATTGTAGACTTGTTTATTAATTAAATTATAACTTTCATTCTGGAAGAAAAATACAAAGAAATTAAAAACTTTTAAAATAATATTTAATTTTGCATTAATAAAGCTCACTTATTGCACATACAATTTAATATGTCTACTCGCACACAAAAATCATAGTTATGAAATTTTCTCGTCCTAGGAGGAGAATAGTCACTCTTCATATTTCTCCAAATTTTATTTTTGAAACTAGTTGATATAGCCTTGTAACTGTAGCCGTAACACCTTTCATTGTGATTTACACCATGAAATTCACTTCTGGAGCAAGTTCCATTAGCTTTCATAAAAATTCAACCACGCATCAATCATTGGGGAAAATAAAGATGATTAGATGGCATATAGAACCCATAAAAAAAGTACAGTTTACTTAATTGTATTTCTCCAATTAAAATTGCCCAATAGATGTTAAATATCCTCAACAAACTGTGTATTTAATTTCAAACCATTTGGAAGTCTCTGCACTATTGAGAAGATTTTTATGCATCCAAGTGATGATTAAACAATTTTAGAAGTTCTTGAAATAATTTTTGCCACTAAATTTAAGTATGTTTAAGAGAATAATTATTTTGGTCATAATATTTGGAGGCCTTAAAATCAAAATCTAAATTGGAGGAGTGATTCTCCTCCCAGAGGATAAAATTCTATTCATATATATATATAGGTCAAAATTATCCGTAAATTATTTATATGGGGTTGTTTAGTCTCAGACTACTCAAATTTGATGTGAAGTAGTCCATTAACTTCTCAAATATGATTAAAAATAATCCAACAGAGGGAATATTTGAGGACTTAAGAGACTAAATTGAACATATTTATAGTTTGACACTAAAATTATCCCATACAAATTGTTCTAGGACTATTTTGACATTTTTTTTCTTTATGTATGAATGTCTACCTACATTTTTATATTTTGTGAGTGTCTTTGTGCGAGGGGGGATGGCCAAGGTTAGTTATGTGTGTGTAGGTGCAAGTGTATTTGTGTGTGCTTTTGTGTACATTTGGATTGAAGATAGTGAATCGATGTGGGTGGGTTTGCATTGGTGTGCTCTGGACATGCATGTTTATGTATTCACGTAGATGCACATGCACATCATGCTTGCATGTGCTATGTTTGTATGTGTATATGTATAAATCTTGTGTAACGATGGTTCATGTGCATGTGTGATTGTTTTATGTCTGTTCATTTATACGTATTCATATTCACATTTAAAAACTCATATTTAATTTTCATTTAGTATTCATTACCCATGTTAATTTGTATTGCCAAACTATTTTATTACCATCATTATGTTTAAATACCTTTCCTAAACACTTGGGAAAGCATATGATTTTATTACCATCATATGCTTATATTTTCAACATTGATCAAGTTGCTGTTATTTTTTGCAGTAATTGTTTTGAAAACAGATTTAACTGCTGACTTCAATATGCATGTTGACTTAAGACTTGTTTGGGACGGCTTTTTTACTTCTTTCTTAAAACAGCTTTTTAGAATACTTTTTTTTTAAAAAAATTTTATACTAAAAAACTGTTTTAAAAAGCAGTAAGAAAGCCGCCCCAAACGAAGCCTTAGTCACACTATTTATCAAGCTCCTAGTATTATAGATAGACAACAACAACAAACTTTTATCCCACTATATGAGGTCCTAGTAGTATAGATAGAATTAAAAATTAATTAATTCTAATATGTGATTACTAACTTTTGATATCTAACAAATTTAACATATATATAATTCAAATCTATTTACAAATAAGAATATATAAATTATTCACCATTTAATTTTTCATACTTGAAAAAATACAAATTTATTTAAAAATGCAATTATATCTTGAAATGACGTTTTAAACCAACAATGTCAAAAGTTGAAACTATCAAAATCATTGAAAGTAAAATACTTCTATCTTTGTTAATTTATCAATGAAAATATTATTGATGCAAATTACATGCATTTAACTTAGAACTTCATTTAACACATTTAGAATATATATAATTCAATTCAAATTTACTTACCAACTTCAGTCCTAGGCATCCTATTTCAGATGATAGTACATTTGTCAAGTCAGCATGTGTTGTTTTGTATCTTTTTTTTTTCGCAGTTGGACATGAACAACCTCAACTACCTCATCTGATTACTGATGAGGTCGATGATGATAGTTGTACTTTAAGTGAAATCCAAGCTTGCAATGGATTCGATTTCTACTTCTCAGATAATGTTACGGCATTACCAGTTGATGGAGGCATTGGGTTTAACGAGATATTAAATGTAGCCTGTCCTGATTATGAACTTCTGAATTCTGATGCACTACTTGATTTGGAAGATAGGCCGATATTATTTCCATTATTGGATGAACGTCTGGAAAGTATTGGATTTAGTGATGATAAATCCGTTGGAAAGCATATGGACGGCGATGAATCATGCTTGTACCTTGCTATCCATCAGTTGAAATCACCGGATCAGGATGCTCAGATAAGATGTTTGACCAGTGATTTTGAGGAAACGGCATACTTCAATTTACAATTTACTGGTCACAAATTATCGAATTCACCTGTTTCAAAAGCAGAGGAAGTAAAAAGAAAGCCTATTACACTTGTGCTTGATTTGGACGGTAAGCAGAAGATTTAGTTTTTTGTTTTTCTAAATTTTTTTTTATTGTGTATTTATGTTGTAGATTATCATTTCTGGTAATGTTCTATAAAATCAGTTTACTTGATTTTTTCTTTTTATCCATGAACTTCAATTTAGTTGAGAAACAACATTGCATCATAATTTTCCTTTATTTGGTCTTTAATTTGAGTCGGAACTATTGGTCAGCTTACTGATGGAGATATTCTTTTGTATATGCTTTGGTTTCTACATTCTCTCCTGTTTTTTAACAAAATATTATTCTTTTGAACTGTGATGCATAAGCAGAAAATTCAACTTTGGTTGAACCCAACATTACAATTTCCTCTAAGGTCTCAATATTATCTATCATATTAAAATGCAAGATCCCGGTGGTATTTGAAATTTAGGCTTCTTTTGGGACGGCTTTCTTTTTGCTTCTTAAAACAGCTTCCTAGTACAAAAATTTTAATTTTTGTATTATAAAGTTGCTTTAAGAAGCAATAAAAAAGCCGTCCCAAATGAAGCCTTAATGGATAGCTTCACTTTTGAATAGCCCATTGTCTGACTGTGACATGAATACTTTATTGTAGATTGTTAAGGCTAGTTTCGTCATCCTATCTTTAGTGTGATATGATTGTGACCACTAATTCAAGCCTGATTAGCAATTTCCATTATGATCTAATGCAGTTTTTATCATACTATAGTTTCTTACCGAGCCTGAATTGATTGCCAATTTGCCATAGTCTAACTCACTTTTTAAAAGTAAAAATAATCTGAAAAAGAATAATTCATTTGGTCATACAATAAACCCTCTGAGGCGACGTTGAAGTTCAACAAAATGAGTAGTCCAAGACAGATTTTATTAAACTTGGCTTGTGATTTTGTCTTGAAATAATTTATGTAAATTCATGCAGAGACTCTTGTACATTCTACACTGGAGCATTGCGATGATGCAGATTTCTCCTTTCCTGTTTTCTTTAACATGAAACAGCACACAGTCTATGTAAGACAGAGGCCATATCTACAGACGTTCCTTGAAAGAGTAGCCCAAATGTTTCATGTTGTCATATTTACTGCCAGTCAGAGCATCTATGCCGAAAAGCTCTTGAATATTCTGGATCCTGACAGAAAGTTAATCTCTCAGTGCTTTTATCGCGAGTCATGCGTATTTTCTGATGGTAGCTACACGAAAGACTTGACTATTTTGGGGGTTGATCTTGCAAAAGTGATTATTATTGACAATTCTCCACAGGTAAGGTTTGTCATGTTATGTTCCTGCGAATCAAATTTAGGCTTCGTTTATGACAGCTTTTTAACTGCTTTCTACAGCAGCTTTCTAGTTAAAAAAATTGTCGAAAGTGACAAAAAAGCAGTGTTTAAAGCTGTCCCAAATGAAGCCTTAATTGTTCTTATTCACTTTTAAAATTAATGGTTAAAGAAGCATAGTGAAATAATGTATCTGCCTTTCTGTTATACTAAAATCATGTGCCAGTAATATGAAAATTATGGAAAATGTTTTTGCTTACATCTTCTCATTTTTGTTTATGATGGCAAACGGTTCATCTTTGCTCTCTTTTCCCAGGTTTTCAGGCTGCAAGTGGACAATGGCATTCCCATTAAGAGTTGGTTTGATGATCCAACAGATCAAGCATTAAATTCATTACTACCCTTCCTTGAAAATTTGGCTTATGTGGATGATGTTCGACCCCTTATTTCAAAGATATTTGGCACTAAAGCAGAACAAAAAGTTGTCTTAATATAGTTGATTTGGGAAAAAGAAATTGCTTATGATATCCACATTCAATTTTCGACGAGGACACCATTATTTTTGAGACAATACATTTTTCTTTCAACACTACCTATTTTGGATTTTGCAAGATTACTTGTCTTGCAAAAAAAGAAATAATATTTTTTACAATCCGATTAATTGTCGGTGTCCTCGTCGAAATTTTGGTCAGAATATCTGAGCCTTTTATTTTTTTTTCATCAACTTTTCATATCATCCTCATTAGACCACAGCTATTTTGTTTACATACAATAAAGCTCTCAGCCTTCTTGTTAGATTTAGAGCATAGTTTTTACTAGTTGTGTATATATATATATATATGCACTCTCTCTTTCATGTTACAATTCAGGTGTGTAAATCACTCTTATTTTGTGCAATAAAACAATCTGCTCTTTCAACTGAGTTGTTTTTTTCTTAAGAATATTTGTTTGTTGAATTTTACTATGTTAATTGAGATGTTAATATGTTCATGCATTTTAATATATTGCAATTATGTATAGTGATTATATTGTAATATAACTAAATGTTATTATGTGAATAATGCATAATGTATGCTAACATGTTTAACATAACACCTTAACATTATATATAAATACTATGATAACATAGATATGTTACATATATAATATAGCACATTATATTAATTATCTTTTAACATTATATGTATTATATATTTTAACACTAGTGTTAATTATGATATAATTTGTATCATGTGTAACATTAGGTATAATAATCATATATACAGTTATTAATATGATTTATAATATATTATAACATAATGTATATCATTATGTGTTATGTTATATTATATTACATATGCATTATATAAACATGTAATGAATAGTAATATATAATACATAGGTAATTTATTATATATTCATATTATAGAACATGGTATAATGTATATAACCATTATGTATTATGCACTTATAATAAATATTGATGTTGTTAGTATATAATTATAATTTGATATTATATTATATCATTTATACACCATACCTATAATATTATATAATTTACACAAAATTACATTATATAATATGTAAATATATATAATGATTAATTATATAGTGTATATAGTGATTATATTATAATATAATTAAATGTTATTATGATGTATAATGTATGTTAACATGATTAATATATAACCTTAACGTTATATATATATATATAATGAATGATAATTTTTTGTTGTATTTTTTTGAATTTGATTATATAGAGATTTTTTTTTGAGATAGTTTTTTGTCATTATATTTTCATTGCTTTAAAAAAAATTTTGAACTAAAAGTTGTTGTAGAAAATAATAAGAAAGTTGTTCAAAATATAACCTGATTGAGTCTTTGTTTGGGTCTACTTTCTTAATACTTTATAAATTAGTTTTATAGTACAAAAATTTTTAGTTCAATAAATTTTGTAATTAAAATTTTGTACTAGAAAGATACTTTAAAAAATAGTAAAAAAGCCATCCCAAATGAAACCGGAGTCACGATGAAAGTTGTGTAATGTACAAATGAATTTATTTGTGATTTATTTGATTAGAATGACTAACAAGAGGAAATTATAAATCACCAATTTTTTCATTAGAAAAACTAATAAAAATGCTTTGTAAATAAAACTCATGACATTTTTTTCATTTTGGTTTTTTTCATTCTAAGAAAATGAATTCAAAATATTTGTGTGTACACATAAGTAACATTTATATTTTTCACATTCTGATCCAGAAAAGAGCAAGGTAATATAAAAAGAGTAATTTACATATATGCCACTGAATTGTTAAATATTTACATATCAAATATTTAAAATTTTATATTTATAAATATAATATTCTAGTGTTTAAATCATTAAAAGATACACATGAAATTATATATTTTATTTTAGATAAATTATCGTTAATTATATTAATTTTAATTTAATTCTTATATCATTAAGACACTTAAATGATTGATGAACACTAAATGATCGAGAGAATCAATATGAGCCGTTTAATGGAGCACTCCGAATTTGTCATAGATTTTTTTTTTTCATATTTATCGAGCATGTCATTTTCAAAATCTATAAATAGACCCATTCTCCTTGCATGAGAAGGACCTTTGGGATTAGGAGGCTTGGATCTTGGGCTAAAGATTCAAGAGAGCTCTAAAGCTTGAATAATCATCAAACTCTGCTCAAGCACCATCGCCAACAAACCCTCACCACTACTGGACCCAACTATGGTCCTCGAACCACCATCGCACGACTACAATCCTTCCAATCTCTATCACCCACTGACTACGGTCCTTTTGACCCCCATCTCTCGTTGATTACATTCCTTCCGACCTTTATTACCCACCAACTACAATCTTTCCGACCTTCATTGCCAGTTGACTACGATCTTTCCGACCTCAATCACCCACTGACAATGGTCCTTCGATCTCAATCACTCAATTACAGTTCCTTTGACCTCCATCGTCTGACTATGGTTTATCTGACCTCTATCACTCAATTATAATCCCATTGCCCTCCGCCCTATGTTGCCAAACTAGTCCACCTGACCTCCATCACCCGTCAAGTACAGTCCTTCTGACCGTCGTCATTCGTTGACTATGGTCCCATCAACCTCTAATGCCTGATAAAGGTCATCCGAGCAATGTCGCCTGACGACTACAATCCTTAGATTTCAATCGCTCGACTACAGTCCTTTCGATCTTTGCCGCCTATTAACTATCGTCATTCTATCTCCATTGCTCGACTATGGTCCTTCCAATCCCCCTTGCATGATTATGATCTCTTCAACCTCATTGTAAATTTTTTGTTTTTACAATTATATAATTTATATCATTCACCCACTTGTTCTAATCACCCATTCTAATAAGCAATTTTCTCTTCTCTAAATTTACAATGGGAGGAACTGATTCTTAATTCACCACTTCATTAGCAGGAAGAAGACGGAAATACATATTTGTTTAATTTTATTGTAATGTTGAAGAAAATATTCTAAGTCGTATGACTTTGAATATGCACTCATTCTAAAAAGAGCGAAATCCCAACCACTGAGAGCAATCAGTCGGTCATAAAAGAACATCTTAGTAAGAACTTTACATATTTTACACAGTAGAATCCATGTCAATCGATCAAACAAACTTTGCAGAAGAAACACTGCCTGTACCATGACATGGATCTCTTCACATCTCTTTCAGCTTTTCAAATATAATTTTCTCTCAAGCTTCTGATACAAACATGCCAGTCTCACCAACCACACTAGCTCGAGCTCACCAGCATGCAAATGGACATCATCTTAGGCTTCATTTGGGATGGCTTTCTTTCTGCTTCTTAAAGCAGCTTTTTAGTACAAGCTGCTAAAAAGCTGCTTTAAGAAGTAGAAAGAAAGTTGTTCCAAACAAAGCCTTAAGCTGCTACAGTGCTTCCACTTCCCCTAGTAGATTCCTGGAATCCCTGCACCAATCTTTCTGTGTGAACCTGCAACAAAGAAAGGTGAAGCCCTCATGCCGACTGCAACTTCTGGAGCCATCTTGCTCGGCATAAATGGCTGCGGCGGTTTATGCCGATGGCTATTATCTCGAGCTTCTTCTGCTGCTTCCGCCCTCTCGCTTTCAATCTTACTGATGTTTCTGTGAAAGCTGAAGGTTGCAGGAGGAAGACCAGGCTGTGGTGGAAGCATTGTGTTTCGCATCAATCTTTGAGGATCAGAGGGTTCCCTTATTCTTCCATTCTCAAATGGAATTACAGGACTCACTACTCTTCCTGGCTTTGCTGAAATTCAAATTAGGAGAAGCTTTGGCAGTTCAGACAATTTGAAGGAAATGTTATGTACAATTAGCCAGAACAATTTGAAGTAACTAACCAACTGGGATTCTTTGAGGAGCCTGTGGAATCCTGGGAAAATGTTCAGAAAATCTATCTGCTTCTCGGAGATTATTAACTTGTTCCTTTGGAGGGATTGTAGTTGAATGGAGCACAGTTGGTCTATGAAGACAGAATTATAATGCTAATAATGATCATCATGGAATTTTACAGGTTCAAACAGCATGAAAGTAAAAAGATTTCGAAGCAGTACTTCAGAGTGTAATTCTTAATTATTATAGAGGACATGATTTCATATAACATAACTGCAATAAATTCATCCTGTGAAAAAAGACATAAGATAAGAGCATCTGCCTATAAACAGAGGGAAGATAGCAGAAAAGAAATGAGAGTTCCAAATCTGTACACCGATTTCATTAATTGAAAATTTGTTCATCAAATATCTCCATGTTTTAGTTCAAAAAGAGTGAAATTGTGAAATAAATGACATTTTTAAAGCACCTACAAATTTATGTTAGCAACAACCTGTGGGCTCCGAAAATTCGGCCCCGGCCTCCCCGCCGCGCTTTTCAAGAGAACTCGGGTAGAAGCAGTGGGGGTCTAACGGTTTTGGATCGAGAGGGAGGAAGAGGTTCGGCCGGATTTTCATCTGTGGAAGGAAGCAAACGGGATATGAGAGCTTCTACTTTGTTTGCTCGATACTTATAGGCGCGAATTGGAGTGTGATCGGGGCTGGTGTCGCAGGTTTCACGCAGAAATCCCGAGAAGCGACACAAACGGCGCCGATTTCAGCAGGATATCAGGAGGGCCTCGACGGGATTTCTGCCAGCATTCGTGGATCCGACAGGTATTATTTTGATTGATTTTTTTTTAGTATTAAACAGAGGTTAACACAACCCCAACTCTGACAAGACAATTTGAAGACATCATTCAACTTGACCTATTTTTTCACTAAGCAGGTTTCTTTTTACACTCATTTTACCCTGCATGGATCCATTTTTGGTATAATTTGAGCATAATTCACTCTTAACCCAATTAGATGACAAATCCATCTTTTAACTATCCTACCCTCATTCTATAGCTACGCATCTACCATTATCCTACTTTTCTTCAATCCTCTTAACCCTATATACCACAAATCCATTAAATATCTAAACATTCCCGATTTTTTCAAATTGGCTCATTAAAGTCCTCAGCTTTTCAAAAATAAGCGAAAAAGAAAGAAAACAAATCTTAAATTTGAAAAGGGCCATTTTAAGTGGGAAATTTGACATGCTAAAATGTCCTGCCTACCACCAGTCTCCCCACTTCAACAATATATCTTTGTCCCCAAACTTGTTTCTTTATTTCAAAAAAGGAACGGTCAAGAATTTGAGAGCTGAGGTTTTACTCCACCAGGAATCAAAATGGAAGAGTAGGTTGAGAATTTACTAAATGGGCAGACTGAAAATTTTGGTTTTGGTTTCAAACATTACTCACTGAACAACAAGGATGGAGGCAGAATGCCAATTTTTTGCAAGCAATCAAGAGGTTGTAAGCAATCAAGAGGACGAGAAGACGTTTTTAACAAACTACTTGGAGTGAAAACAAGTAGGAATAATCTAACATCCTTAATCGAGAGTTTTCCTAAGTCAAGGCTTAGGATGTAATTAACTACGGGGGCTTGCGCCGGTAGGAGACCGATCCCTACAATCAAATAAACCCTATTAGAGCTGATGTATCGAATAGGGGAAATCTCGTGAATTTTTGGGTTATAGATATTATTATCCATCGATGTTGGTAGGTGAGAGTCGCTATCCTCCATGGCTAATCGTATCTATAACTCCATCTGCTCTTCCATCGGCCTGCTTGTGTCGATTGTAAAGGTTTACGACCATTTTGTCCTACGGGATAATGTGATCGTACTCTTTGCATTCGAACCACATGAGCAGCATCCTTTAGGAGACCCACACACGTCACCTCAAAAATGTGCCGCACTCGGTACCAAGCGCTTAACCGGACGGGAGAACAGTCCGGTGTCCGCACAGAATAAAAGCTCGGGTGTGGAAGGGGTGGAATGGGGGATTCAGAGAGCACATAAAAGGCATCTGCGGTTTATGTTAGAGAAGGAAGTTATTATTTTTATTTTTTTTACAAGTAATTCCATTTGTACGCTTCAGTAATACGCTATTATGTTGGTGTAACTGTAACGTATAAGAGGTGCAACTGTAACGCGTAAGTCTTTTTTTCTTTCTTTCAGCATTTCTCTTTTTCTACATCCCTATCAAGCCCCCATGTTCATATCAGTGTGCAAGGAGAGGGGATAGCAAAAGTTAGTGGGGGAAAATGGATCAGTTTTCCCAACATCAAATTTGAAATATTCATTATCCAAGAAGATCCTCAGGCATCTTCCCAATTCTCTTCGCTACCCTTGTCTTGATCTATTATACCACCTTTCATGTCCATCTTGAGATGTTCCTTTTCCACCTAATCTCCTAATCACCTTTTTCCCTCTGCCTCCCCTCCTCTTTGCTTCAACTCCTCCACTAGTCAATTCCCTTCTCCACCAAAATAATTATCTTTAACCTGATCTACATCAACTATAGCCTATTTGTCCTAGAAAAATGTTATTACACAGAAATTAATTAAATCAAACTCCAAGCAACAGATACAATTATAGCCAAAGCATGATGGATGAATGCTGATATAATGTTCTCTCAATTATTATTTTAAATAAGTAGTTATTAGTGCCTCAAAATAATTACCTGGGAAGAGAAATATGTTTCCTCTCTATCGGAACCGTGGGAGCATTTTTTCCGCCGTTCTCCTCCAAATGAGCAAATTGTCTTTTGAAATGATCAACCGCACTAAAATGATTGGGATACAACAACAATGATAAGCACAAAATAATTGAACTGTATAGAGATATTGCAAATAAAAAAATTTAACCTAGGATACAAGAAATTTGATCTCTCAGTGCCATTTATGTAGTCCTTGAGAAGTTGAGGGTGATACTCCAATATTTCATGAAAAATGAGCTCTCTAATATCTTCTTTTGTCACTCTTCGCCGCTCAAATTCAAACTCCATTTTTGTGATTGGTTGGCAAGAGGGCTCCCTCTCCACTTTGGCCAAACCAGTAAAATATGGATCTGCCAACGCCTAAAACCACAGAAGATTTAAGAAGAGAAAACATCCCAGCATATAAAGGCGAGGGATATCAAACTCACATTCTTCTCATTTGCAACAAAGTGTACAACAATGATAGCATAAATAACAGGAAGAAAAGTTACTAGAACAAGAAGAAACATACACACCTCTTCAGCTGAAGGGCGATCCTTCGGATCAAACGCTAGTAGCCTCTCCAAAAGTTTGAGGGCCAAAGGATCTGCATCTGGGAACTTCTGTGAAAATGGTATGGGTTGCTTCTTCCTCATACTACTTAAAAACCTTCTTGCCTTATCATTTCGAACCTATTATCAAATTAGAGGAGATATGAGATCAGGCAATACTCTTGGAATGGAATTCTAACTTTCAATATGACATTTCCATAGAAAACACCATACCCGCGAAATAGAATCAATGGAAGGCGTGCCGAGAAGATCAGTCATCAAGTCTAATTGATGTACCACATTTTTCCCAGGAAATAAGGGCTTCCCAGTTATTACCTCAGCAAAAATGCAACCTATGCTCCAAATGTCAATGGCTGGCGTGTACTGCAAATGCAGAACCCATCATTCAATTAAAGCATACAAACAAAATGAAGAAGTAAAAAGATATACGACCAGAAATTAAATAAAAAACACACAGCAGATATAAAATAACATCTCGCAGTTAGTCCAAAACAATTCCTGAACAAGCATTTTATTTTAATTAATTGCATCATAAAATAGTTTGATTACAAAGATTCCAAATTAAAGAAAGATATCAAAAGTTTCATAATCATAACGGTTAAATTTACCATTTAGCTGGGGTAAGGATGATTGGAAAAATTGTCCAGAATTGAGTCTTTCTATTAAGACCAATAGGACAGCTTTGTGCAAGCGTGCAACTAAATAAGAAAATCATGAATAGCTGCATTGTAAAGCAAATGGCTGAGAGGACAGATGATCCATTGCACTAATGATAAAGTAAAAGGAAGGATTTTTTAGCTGATCATGATGCAAAGTGGAAGCGAGCACATCCATGTCGAGAGAGAAAGAAAGCAAGAGAGAGAGTGAGGCAATGAGAAAGGTGTGGGCGGAGGGGATTAACTTCAATGAAGATGATGAGTCGTCTTCCTACCAGGTATACAGGCATCAAGGAAATCTTGGGTTGTCATTGTAATCCTATAAGACACCTAGGTTTCCACAATGGAAAATTATTAGGTCCCGACACCGGACGTAGATATAGGTCCGGATATCCAATTAAAATTTGACACAAGGATTGCGCTTTTGGTGCACTTTTTGACTGCTCTTTGACTGTGCTTTAATTGCACTTTGACTGCGCTTTTTGACTGCACTTTGGCTGTGCTTTGGTTGTGCTTTACCTGCACTTTGACTGCGCTTTTTGACTGTACTTTGGCTGTGCTTTGGTTGTGCTTTACCTGCACTTTACGTGTGCTTAGCTTAAAATTTCACGGACACATTTAATTTATAAAGTAAAAAATAAATTTAATTGAATATCCAAGTGTCAATATTTTATAGGAGTCCGGACATATCTCTACGTCCGGTGTCCGGACCTAATAATTTTCCATCCACAACACAGTAAATACTTTGGGCTCATGCCAGTACAAAACATAATCTATAGCAGCATAAGTGGTGCAAAATATGATTTACTATTCTATTTGTCAACAAGATGGTCATGGTAATCAAGTCAGTAGTTTACATAGCCATTATGGCATATTCACAATATTTTCTACATAAAATTATTATAAAAAATTGCATTGAATATTTCATGGACATAATATATACCTTGGAGAAAAATGAGCCACATAGCTCAGGTGCTCGATACCACCTTGTTGCTACATAATCCTAAATATTTTCAATAGAAAGTTCACATGAAACTAAGTTCAATATCCAAGCATAACCAAAAGTAAAAGCAAGCTAACCAACTTGTTATTAATATACCGTCCAAAACACTGTTGATGGGGTATCATTGAATGCAACCCTTGCTAATCCGAAGTCACAAATTTTGAGCTTGCAGTTGGCATTTGCTAATATGTTCTTTGGCTTTAAATCACGATGATAAACATTAGCTGCATTAAATTGACCAACTTCAGCATAAAATTATGATAGAAGGCTAAGTGAGGACCAAGTTATCAGTTTAAATGACAGTGGTGCAGCAAAACACAATGACCAGACAAAAAGAAAGAAAACAACTCCAAATCAATAAGAATAACAGCAAAAGAACTAAAGAATGTTTGACATACAATATAATTACCATAGTGTATTCAAAAAATATGGTGGCCAGGATAAGATGAAAAAACAGAGAATAGTAACATAGAAAGACATAAAAGACCACAAAAACTTTCATATGCACTTGCATGAGGAATATCAAAATTTTATGAAGTACATAAGCAAATTAAGTGACATTCAAGCAAGCATAGCTTGAATAATAAGGCTGGTGATTGCATTGGTAATGGGAAAGAGCTATCCCGGTGAAACAAGAATAGCACGCTAAGACGGCTGAGTGCAACCTAAAATAGGCGGACCAACATCAAACAAATTGGTGGAGCATAATTATCCAAATATAAGAAAAGAGGGTAGTAAATTTCATATAGTAATTACTATATTCAGAAACAACATCAAAGTCAAGTAACAGGTTTTCTTTCGCTCAAAGGTACACGGTAACAAAGAACTTCATGCATAGTTTCTTTTACAGGATGAAATTCAAAGAAGAATTTGGATAAAATCATTAAAAAAAAAAAACCTAGTGCCAGGACATACAAGCACATTGTGATTTTAAGGTTCAGAAAAACAAAAGTACATCAACATGCTATAACATTGTTTAAATTTAACAGACTTCTTGTAATAACATCAAAGGATCCTACCAGTGTGGATATATTTTAATGCGCGCAAGAGCTGATAAAGAAAAAACTGGTAATGCTCTCTGGTTAAGTCATCATTGGCTTTGATAACTTGATGAAGATCTGACTCCATAAGCTCAAAAACAACATAAATATCTTTGAAATCCCTCTTTGATGGGGGTAGCATAATGTGCTTTATCTCTACAATGTCAGGATGTCTGAGAATCCTAAGAAGCTTGATCTCACGAAGAATACGGGCAGCATCTGAGATGTGCTCAAAAATATCATGTATCTTCTTGATGGCCACTTTTCCTCCAGTTTGAATGTCTATAGCTGAGCAAACAACTCCATAACTTCCTTTCCCTATGACCTCCTGAATTTTGTATCTGCTTGCATCCCCATATTCAGTGAAGAAGTCCATCTCTGGTGTTTCCTGTAAAATATAAACAAATATCACACTTTTCCATGAAAATACCTTCAAATAGACTTACCGAATGTCTACCGAAAAGAAATGCAATAAACTAAACCATTAGTTGGCAATTAGAGTGACCGAACTTTCTTTTTTTTTTCAATTTTGCCATAAGATGCAATACGAACTATTATGGGAGAAAATCCATAAATGATATGGGAAAGGCTTATGATAATACAATGGCATATAACACGAAGATAAAATATTAAAATTCATACAGTCTTCGCAGTTAAGAACAAAAACTAGGAAGATAATCATAATGCGCAAGTGAACTTTCTTACAAACTCCGAAGGCTCCACTCATCCAACAACTGATTCAACAAAGTATACAATCACAATATCACTACGCATAAAATTTCTAAATCTGATGTAGCAAAGCGTGAAACTTTCTTTATTCATGAACTCAAAGCATCTAAGGTTCATCCACAAAGGAAATCTGGCTTGGCCTCCTGATAAAGAAACCAACTTGATATTTCAAATCCCCGATAAAGCAAAAGTCAGATAACATAAATCCTCATTCTATATAAAAACATTAATTTTTTTCTCATTGTTGGAAAAACACAGACATATTTTGCTGATGGAAAATCTAACAGAAATAAAATTGAACAAAAAAGTTGCAACGAGGTTACATCACATTCTTGGGAATGATTGAGAAGAAAAAAAGACCAAGAAACTTTAATATACCAAGGCCCAGTTGCCCACCATCAAAGATCACTGAATATCAAACTATTGCAACTTTGTGGGAAACATACAATCAAGACGCATAAAAATTGAAAATTTCAAGTAAAAGAAGGATAATAATCACAGGAAGGTGAACATATGAACATAAACAAAAGGCAAAAGACCAAAAGGTTCTGAAAAAGCAAGACAACCAACGAAGCCTAATTTAAATTTAAATTTAAATTGGCCAAACCATGATAAACATATACATAAAGTTATATATAAACCGGCCAATAATGGAAAAATAAAATTGCAGCAGGGATAATAATCACAATATGTCATATTTGATTCAAGCAAAAACTGATTAATTAAATGCATGTGGGCAATTCCATAAGTAGAAACACCAATGATAGAATATGCAAACTTCTAATAAAAGTCTAAAATAAAACCGCAGCCGGTAGGGATATTTATGTAAACATAAAGTAACTGCACAAAGAACTGCAAGCAAGAAACGGAGAGCAGTGTCCACGAACAGTTGCAAGTCAAAAAGGATTCACCAAAAAAATCTCAAGGTACACCAGTCACCAGCTAATTAATAGCACTATTCAAAATCCAGCTATTTCAATTTCAACACTGTAGGAACAGATCTTAAGTCGCAACAATACAAAAAATTGCCGGAAGAGGGAAAGAAAGACAGTTCGAGAAACAAGGCACTGAATAAATAAAAAAACCTTCTTCCGCTGCTGCATCTCCGTTCTCGTTGAAGGTTTAAAAGCCGCAATGTTCCAAAAACGCCTCCTTTTCTTCCTCTTAAGCTTCCCAAACCCTAAAACGTTTGCCTTCTGTCGAAAATTAAATTAAACAGGGGCGAATCTACAAGGAAATCAGCCACATTTGATCACAGGCATGCAATCTGTTTCTCCTTTCCTTGAAACCTAATCAGAACATAAATATCGAGCAGAATCCTCCTCCACTCCCAGGCAATCCAAGCTCAACGCCTATCTCTCTCTCTCTCTCTTTCTCTCCCGATAGATAGAGAGCGGAGAGCAAGAGAGATGGAGAGAGAAAGAGACTGGCCATCGGCCCATCAGTTAGGGCATTCATTTTATACTGTAACGGCCTCAGCCTCCCACTTGTCGGTCGCCGTATAATAGAATAGTGGCGTATTCGGTAATATTTTGGTAAAGAAGCACTTTTACAAGTGGCTGTAAGAAAGAAAAAGAGGTGTCTGAAAATCTAAAAAATTATTAGGTGCGGAGTGCGCATCGTCCACATAAATATCAGATATCTAGCGGTATTCAGTGGTATCAAGTGCAGGTATCGTTAGGTATCTAATATTTGTGTGGACAATTCTTCTCATACGCACTCCACACCTAATAATCTCTCCCGAAAACCGCAACTAGGAGTTAATTGGAGTTATTATTTATTTTTTAAAAGGAAAATAGGAGCTTGATTTGATTTAAATTAGGCAGTTAATGAATGACCGATCACGCTGCTGATCTTATCTTAGATTTGAATCTCTATGTGTGTGAATTTATTTTAATTGATTTAAATATTAAAAATTAAAAAAAAATATGAATTGGGATTAACTTAATTAATAAATGGATTAGAATTTGTGTCCATAATTTTGGCATATTTAATTGATGACTTGGATTTAAATTGATATGTGGATTTTATTTTAACTAAAATGTTACTCGTTTAAAATTTTTTTCTTAAATTCTTTTGGTTATGTATATGAATTTTTTATTTTTTATTTAATAAAGCTGACTATAAATATTTTTTTAGGGTTTGTTTGGTTAGAAGTAAAATGGGTGTAAAGTGAATGCATGAGTTTTGAAAAGCTTAATGATTTCTATGACAAAAAAAAATGTAACATATAGTAAATATAGTGTAAATAATTTAACTCAGTTTCGAGGTAATCGGTTCTCGCCCAATTTTGAGCGAGAATCGTTTACACCGCAAGCAAGGGGAGCTAGCCACTATCTTTGTAGCCGGCCGCCACCCACCGCCAATGACCACCCATTGTCGGCTACCACCGCCTCCACCATCAGTCAACTTCCACCACCACAACAGCCACCGTTGTCCACCACCGCAACTGCCATCGTCACCCTCGCAGCTGCCATCAGCCATCGCTAATGCCACTCGTCGTCGCCCGCCGTCACCACCACCGCAAGACGCCACCATCACCCTCCAGCCACCATCGCCCCTGCCTGTTAGTCGTCAACATTTTTAAACTTTGTACTACATTCATTTTACTTCAAATAAAAAAAAAATCACACATGAATTTACTTTACACTCATTCGAGTTGTATTCCTTTTACAATGCATTCCTTATTTAGCCACAAAACAATCCCTTTAATCAAAATGATTTATCAGGTCATATTCAAGTCATTCGAGTTACCTAATCAATTTCAGATCCACCTTTTCGATCTATTTTTTAAACAGATAATATTTGAATATGTTTAATTTCGGATCTAACTCAAACCCGATCCTTTAATCTATTTTGACACTCTTACCATAAATTTTCTTATATATATATATCATATCATAAAAAATGACCTCGATTAGCACGCATCTCAAGGCAA